TACACATACTCCCAAAAAAAAATAATGTAATTTAATTTTTCTTTTTAAGATCCAGCCAGTCTCCCTATCTTATGAGAACTGGAGTGGATCCTCAGCCTGGGGTCCAGTGTGTGCTGCTGTGCAGTGATGGAGCTTGTAAGCCGGCCTTCGGGTAGGTGAACCAAGCAGTCTCAACCCCTGTCCGGAGCTTTGCGCCCCGGGGGGGAGGTTGGGAAATAGTGGCCCCTTCTTTATTGAAGGGCCAGCACCCTTGTGCACTTTTTTTGTTCACAGGGGTTTTTGTTTTCGAAGCACGCTCCACTGGCTTAAAAAAACTAAACAAAAAAACAGCTTCCTTGCATGCCCTGTAGAGGTGCTGGGAGCCAAAATGTGACGTCACTCCGGTCCAGGCAGCTCTACGTTCCAGGCAGCTCTACAGGGCATGCAAGGGAGCTGTAAGGAATGCATGTGTGGATGGATGTCCCTCGCGGCCATGGCCCCACCCCACTTCAAGCTGACACTCGGCACCGGGCAGCAGATTTTGAATGGCTGCTTGGCCCAAGAACTGACAGTACTGCGCTAGGGGGAGGCTGAGGATTTTCTCACCTAGAAAAGTGAAAGGCATGCCTAGAAAAGTGGAAGGCACAGTGGTGACCCACTGAACACGGGGTCGCGACCCACTTTTGGGTCACGACCCACCAGTTGAGAACCAAGGATCTAGATGACATTCTCCTCAACAAAGATCATCACCAGAACTTGCTAAAAACAGTGAGTTAGGTTGATCCAGGCACTCTAATCCTATGGGTGGATTATCAATTACAAGAAAGTCAGTTAGAACCATCTCAAAAGATGGTAATTTTTGGAGAACTGTTCAACACAGTCACACTATCAACAATTTGTTAGAACTGACTCAAACATAATTCACATAATGGTTCAGAGTTAAATTTGCAATCTCAATAGGGCTGCAACAACTAATAGACATAATCGATTATTGAAAAAGTTGTCAACTTTTTCAATCATCGATTAATCGGCTTTTGATTAGTTGCTCCTGTTCACAGCTCCACACACGTTGCGCGCCGCACCTCCTCCCCACCTCACGCTCGCCGCTGCCAGACCCGCTCGCATTCCATGCTACACACGTCACACCTCCTCCCCGCCTCACGCTCACCGCCCGCCCACATCCACGATCGGCACAGGGACGCGGGGAGAAGAAGTAAGCAACAGTATGCCAGCATCCCAATGTCTGAAATTGATTGGCATTCTTCCAGCAACAATCCATATGGTCAAATGGCACAGTGAAACATCAGAACTTTCCGAACAATGTTCCTGAGACAGTGGATGCAGATTTCCCTCCTTCACAGAAATCTAACTTCTACTTCAATGAGGCGGTCTCTACAGTGGTGGTTGAAACTTCAAAAACAACAATATAGGACACTGTTCTTTTAACTATAATTACTTCAGATGTCAGCATGATAGGCTGGGGAGCACAACTTCAAGACTTATTAGTAAATGCCCAGCACCAAATGTGGACCTGCATGGCAAGCATTAGTCACCTTTGCTCCTTTACTGAGGGAGGGGGGAAGAATTCTAAATCAAATTGACAATAAAACAGCAATGTCTTTTGTTTACACAGGGGGAACGAGGAGAAATTACCTAATAAAAGAGGTCAAACAAATCCTTTCTTGAGCTCAGATCCAATCTACTGGATCTGGAAGCTTTATTTTTCAGTAGAAATTTCTAGCAGACACATAGATGTAACAAAACCTTTCACTGAAATGAGTACACAGAAAATTTAATTTTTATTTTTTTTTTTTCTTCATGCCTTTGGAGAAAACAGGACAATTGCAATGATTTGATAACTGCATTAAAAACTTCAGATTCTATCAACTAATAATATTGGCAAAGTGTTCAATTTGTTTATTCTAAAATGTCAAACAACGTATGAAAGACAGAGCGCAATCTCTTATGCAAGACTGAATTAAATACCTCTCCTAACACCTCGTTCACACCTGAAAGTTTTGTAGCGCGTTCTACGCTCGACGAACACTCTACAAGACGCTCAAAAATATAAATCCCAAAAATATAAATCCCATTGTATTCAATGGTCTCGTTCCCACCTTGGCGTATTTCCGCCCGTCCCTAACGCGCTACAAAACGGCCCACGCCTGAAAAGGTACAGGTACTACTTTGGGCCGTTTTGTTGCGCGTTTCCATTGGGATACAGCCAAGTAGCCTTCGGAAACGCGCAACTTTTTACCGCGAATTGCGGTAAAAAAAACGCGCGACAGACGCGCATATGCAATACGCCTAGGTGTGAACGAGACCTTACACAGACAAATGTCCTACTAACTTAACTGCCTTGCACCACTGGAAAGCATGACATCTGCCAGGCTGAAATCCCAGTGGTTCAGTACCTGGTGATCACTGCGATGACCAATCACTAATGTAAACACTCTAGTGTTTACATTTGAGAGCCCACCCCTTCCTCTCTGAAGAGGTAGGGGAGGAAGTAATATTGATGAAAGAAGTTTAAATTAAATGAATTAAAGTGATCGGAGCAGCAGATTCTTAGTAAGGCATTTTAACCAAATATGGTATCTTTTTTTAACCCTTTCACCCCCTCCTTTTCTATACATCTCATCACCACCCTGTCTCTGTATGTGACCTGCATATTAACTCTTAACAATTAACAAAAATGTAACTTATTTGTGAAATCACTCAGCTGTAGAGCCTCAAACAATCTCTGAATTGGTGTTGACACTGTCCTTCCTTCTGAAAGTAACTTCTTGTAAAAGTAGCCACCGCTCCAAACTGGCTCCCATGATGGACTACAATCTCATGTTTAGTTTACTAATTTGTATTGAGATTGTAGTCCCATCACAGGAGCGAGCTTGGAGCGGTGGCTACATTACAACATGCACAGGGACCATGGGGAACAAAAGTTGCCACCCTCCAGCAGGAAGGACAGTGTGAGCACCAATTCAGGGATTATTTGAGATCTACAGCCGAGTGATACACAAATAAGTTAAAATTTTTGTTAATAGTAAAAGGCACTTGAATGCATTTTTAAGATGTAAATGAGTTTTTGTCACTTTAACCCTGCCTGTACTGTGCTGGCAAATCTCATTATCAGTTCTAAACTGGATTTGAACACTGCCAGTCCTAACATAGGGTTAAAGATCTACAATCATATGTTAATGAGAGGATGCTGAGTGTCTCTAGTCTTTCTATGGAGACAGCCTGAGTTTCCTGTAACTTTAACATTTTAGAAAAAAAAGCTTGCAGTCTGTCCACAGTCCAACTCACCACAGACATCTAAAAAGTAAGAAATATTTTTCAAAAATATTTAGGTTTGCTGTGTAAATGGTAACAAAAACAGTGGGTTTTTTTCAAATATGCATGGCACTACAGCAACTGGAAGAACCCAATAAGCATTGGGAATTCCTATGCTCCTCAGCTCTATCTACTGGCAGTAATACTGTGCAAATGACATACGCTCAGGTGAAGATTTATAAATCAACCCCTAAGGTTCCTCAAAGTCTACGCATAGGTCAATGAAAACATGTGAATCCAAGATCGCTGAGCTTTCAGATTTTTAAGTCTGTAGCCCTTTTAGGTTTCTATAAAAATAGTAGAAAATATAATACCCAGTGGATATTAAATGCCACTAAAAAGAGTGCTTTATCGGTTGCTGGGGAAAAGAAAAATTGAAATATATATATATATATATATATATATATACATATACACACACACATATTCTTGTGTACAATGTTGCATGATGGGTAATTGTCAAACTATCACTGTGCTGAAAACTGAAGAATGGCCAGGTAATGAAGTGATGTGCAGGGGCTTACTGTGAACCCAGTTTACCAGAGTTTACTCAAGCCTGCTTAAAACCTTGTCCTGGCCCAATCAGTTCTGGCCAGGCATCCCCTGCCCCACAGCTACAAGTCACAAAGAGGCAGGGAATGCCCTGGCCACAACTGATTGGGCCAAGAGGGGGATGCGTCCTTCAGTTTTGCACAGGCTTGAGCAAACTCCAGCAACCTGGGATCACACCAAGCACATCCCCCCATATGAGCCTATATACAGTGTTTCCCCCGAAAATAAGACAGACAGTCTTATAATTTTTGGGGCTCAAAAAAAAAAAAACACTAGGTCTTATTTTTATTTAATGTACAACAATCCACACTTATTCATGTAGAAAAGTCTCTCATGTACAAAAATATGGTGATCAGGGCAATCAGGTGTGCCGTACCTTTCCAAGAGCAATTTGCTAACCACTCGCTGGCCAGAATGAGCAAAGCGAACTTTCACTATTGATTCCACACAGACGGAGTGCATTTGGTACCACTCCGCCTGTGACAGAAGGCGGCGCTATAGAGGAGGCATCTGCTTATGCGGCTCTGCTCCCTCTGGTGCCGTCTCACTTCCTCTAGCGCTGGCTTCATTGGCACCACTGATTCTGTCCTGCAGCTCTTCCAAATTCCCCTTATGCCCCCACTGGCCCGAACTAGGTCTTATATTTTGGCAATTCCCAAAAATAGTACTAGGTCTTATTTTCGGGGTAGGTCATATTTTCTTTATTGCTAGTAATGTGTGTACAATACTAGTGATAGATAGATAATGCTCATAAACCTGCTCATCAAAACTGATAAGACGTGAATAAAGAGACCTGCTAATGGTCAATACTATAAAAAGAGGAATGTCTTCAGTGTCAAACAGCCAGACCTTATGACCGTCCCACAGGCTACTAAGAAAAGCTTCGGAGTCAGTGATCGGCAATGTCTTCCACTGCACAGAGGACACCAAAACCAGTGTTACCTAAGCGGCAATATCTTCCCCTGCACAGAGAGGACACCAATACCAGTGTTACCTAAGCCGGCTCAGCACACACTCCGATGCAGATGGAAAAAGCGAAAGTGCGTTACACCCATTTGTGACGAAGAGGGCCAGATGTCACCCGTTTGGAAGGCACGGGGTAGGGCTTAGTGAAGGGCACAACACATAAAGCTTACCCAGAGTCGATCAGTGCCATCATAGCTGCAGAAGGTCTCCATACCGGTGCAGCGTGACTTCCGCCGGGAGCAGCCGGCTTACCTCAGAGAAACATAAGCAGGACCCCTCGCTACATAACACCGCGTCGCTTGCTGCTGCCGGCAAACAAGGCGCTGATTGGATGGGCCGCAGCTGTTTTAGGATGGCGGTCGAAATGATTGGCTGCAGCAGCTACTGGTTCGCTGATTGGCTTTGGCTCACGCTGAGAGCCTAGTGACGAAGGCTCTAGCTGTCCGTTTTACAAGCGGCGGTGTTTTGTATCCCACACTGTGACAGGCGCGCCCACTACACCTTATGCAGAGTGACAATACAACCGTAGTTTGTTACAGCATGCAGGAAATACTTCCTGTTTGCAAAAGATGGCAGTGACAATGGCTTTGACCCAGTGACATGAGCAATTACTTTGCATGCTCTGGATACAGAAAAGTGGCAGGTGCAGAAACTGTCAAACTAAAGTTCACCGTCCCCACTCACTCTCCTTCCACTCCCACCCACCTCTCTAATAATCAGATTTTTATTATTCATTTTAAAATATAAGTTTAGGGGAACCCTTCCAGTGCTCCATGCTTTCTCGCCTAGCGGAGAATAACGTATAGGTACTCCACAGCTCATGCACTACAGCGAGTCATCAAGGACCAGGTTATCTCTTCCTGGTTGCAACTACCCCCATGCACTGCAGTGCATGTGTGCTATCAGCGATCTAGCTGCAAGATCCTGAAAGAGACCGCTGATGGCGTCACAGAAGAGGATGATGGCGCAGGACTGACTGTGCAGCAGAAGAGTGATGGATCCCTACAAAACACTTCTGGGCATGTCAATGTTTTTGTTTTTTTCTTGCATAAACCAGTGAAAAGGGGGGAAGGAGTGAAATTCTTCTTTATAAAGAAAGAAAATTTGTTTGGGCTTGCCCCGAGACTGCACCGTGCAGCCCCAATGCATAGACAAGGCAAAAAGCCTTGTTTACAATTAGGTCAGTTGGTTTGCAGACATTTTTTTACAGTGCAGTGTGTTGCAATGTAAACCGCCACATGGCAATAACACTGCTGAATACAACTGAATGAAATGTCACTTGTAACAGTTCAATAAAGTTTTAACAAAAAAAGTAAACAGTGCAGTGCATCAGAGATGGCACATTAGCACTATTTCTGCCAGCTCACATCAGTGGCTGTGCGTTTAGTTGGACCCCAGGGCTCTTGCTATAATGTGCAAATAAGCACAGCCTATTTTTATATCATGGCAGATTTACCTCCATGCCCCCCAATCATCCCATCCGGACTGTTCCAGGATTTAAACATAATCCCATGATTGCGTAGATCTGGCCTCTGTTCCTCAACAGTACCACTGCTGGGCAGAGTGATCTCCCGCCTGACAGAAGCTACACAGTTCTGTCAATGATGTCACTCCACAGCGGCGTGGGACAAAGATTTCCAGCTCAGGTAAGTAATCCCTATTTATTTTAACAATTTGTTGACAACTGTATTTGCTGCCACTGCTGGAGCAGGATGGTAAATCCCCCTGCAGGCTGTTTGTGAGTGTAAAGATCAGTTAAAGGAGAACTATGGGGTTAGGGCTTTTCTCCATAGTTCTCCTTAGGGTAACGGGAGGACACAAACTAGCATCCTCCCGTTACTCTAAGCTAAGTATACCGCGAGCTACAGCTCGCGGTATACTGAGACGCCGGAGCGGATCCCGACATCGATGTCGAGATCCGCCCAGCTGCGTGAGTGACAGCTGGCTCTGCCTATCTAGAGGCAGAGCCAGCTGTACCCGCCCCATCCCCGTCCGTTCCGCCTATCAGCACTGGCGGATCAGGGAGGTGGGATTCCAGCCCCTCCCCTGTCACGGCAGAGAGCCGTGACAGGATCGAGAGGTTTGCTCAGCATTCCTCAACCTTTTTTCAGTCACGACACCTTTTAAAAGTATGCAAAATCTCAAGTCACTTCAGTCTAAAATGTAAAACAATTATGTGTGGTTCGGGCCCAAAATCACCACAGACCCTTTTCCTATGTTGCTGTCTGGTATGGAATTTAAGGGGGAGACCGAATGCAAAAAAGAATGATATGGAGTTCCCCCTTCACATCAGAAGCCCCACCATTCCATCAGAGTCCCCCCTTTTCACATGAGGAGCCCCCCATTCACATAAGCAGCCCTCCTTAACATCAGATTCCTCAGTCCCGCCTTTGCACCAGAGTCTTGCCTTCACACCAGAGTCCTACATTATAATCTTCCCCCCAGCGAGGTTGCGGCATCATGTCAGAGGGCGTGAAGCTGGGCATGTCTAGATGCAGGCAGACTTCTGTCCTCTCTTGAATTCTGGGGGAGGTCCTGGATGCAACCTCTCATTGCCGCCGTGATATCTTCTTCCAGGTCCAGAGTCTTCAGCCATCTTGATTGGCCAGCCAGGGGTGGTGTAACTATAATGCATGATTGTGGGGGTTACTTCGCCCTAGAACCCACGACATGCCAAATTTGTACAGAGCTGGGCATGTACAATCAAAAGAAACTTGATAGCAGACATACAGAGTATCTTCTGCTATAACAAAACTACCTGCTAGCTATTATCTTAACCCCTTCATGACTGAGGCCCTTTTTTCAATTTTTGCACCGATGTTATATTCCACATTTTAGGCCTGAAAATGACGTAAAACCCCCCAACATTATATATTTTCTGAATGCCAAGACCCTATAGAATAAAATGGTGGTAGTTGAAAATTTTTATGTTGCGCAATATTAGCGCAACTCCTTATTAAACCCCAAAATTTAGTGACAAATTTAATTAATTGCCCCAAAACACAACAAATTACCCATTTTTTAAATGAAATATAAAAGATGAGGTTACAACGAGTAAAACGATACCCAACATGCCCAGTTTACAGATTGCGTGCGACCGTGAAACGGCGAAAAACTGCAGTACCCCAAAAAGTCAATAAAAGACACTTTAAAAGCCCCCACAGGTCATCAATTTAGAAATACCCCAAAATACTGGCCCTAGGATTATTGCTCTCACTCCGGCGTGCGCGGCGATACCCAACATGTGTAGCGCGTTCGTAAGTCGCCGGGAGTCTGTTTAAACAGCCCCGATGCTGGCGACGTACACTGTACGTCGTCAGTCACGAAGGGGTTAAAGAAGATTTTAGTTATGGTTTACCAGATTGAAAACTGTGAGGGTCTATAAAAACATGGGGCTTGATTATAAAATGCTAAGCAAAGAAACCTGGAGCTAGAGTGGGGCTTTTTTTTTTTTAAACAAGCAGTCTGGTTTCTGTGGGTTACTGCTCCACTTTCCGAACAATGACAGTGTATAGATAGGTACAGGGTCGCTTTATTCAGTGGGCAACTGCCCAGGGCCCACTGTCACATCTAGGGCCCCAGTTCTCCCTTAGTTTCTTGCGGCCGCGTACAGCTTTTTCAACCAGCCACAAGGAACTATGCCTGCCTAAACTGCCCCTGTCCTGTCAGCATGACAGGTCTATACACAGGCCTTAGTGTGTATAGACTTGTCATGACTTGCATCGGTCCTACATGCTTGCTGGTGATTGTTTGTACACTGTGGCTGAGCAATCATTTATTTTATATGACAATACAAGTTACTATAATAGTAACTTGCATTGTCATATAAAATAAATGATTGCTCAGTCATATACCGTAAAGTATACAGAATATACAGAAACTCTAGTGATATACGACGGAGCAATCATTTATTTTATATGACAATACAATTTTCTATTCCTTACATTGCTTACATCCCTGTAGGGATGTACCGATACCTATATCGGTATTGGTATGGATACTGGGCAATTTCACAAGTACTCGTACTTGTGAAAATGCCCCAAAACCAAAATCGATACCGGCACTTTCATTTTTCAAATGAAAGCAGCTGCCTTAGGTCCCACGCTTGCTGGGGACTTTGCGGCAGCCTTCCTGGGTACCATGCGTCTCCTGTTTAGAGTGCTTCCGCCAGCCCACACATCTCCACCTCGAGACCCTTCGCGCCCCCGAGACCCTCCACACCCCTCCTGAGACCCCCCACAACCACCCCCCCGAGACCCTCCGCACCCCTCCTGAGATCTTCCGCACCCCTCCTGAGACATCAGGCTGGCACCCCGTAGCAGAGCAGCAGTACAAAGTATGTAGCAATATATGATTCTGCATTGTTGTATAATGTATTGCTGGAATATGTAGTCATCTATAGCTGGTGGTATTCTGCATTGATAATAATGTATTATTGTATGATAATTGTATAATTAGATTTGTAGTCCCTCTACAGCTTGGAGTCAGTGGCAGAACTAGGTAATAGCTTTGTAAAAATATCAGTGTTGATTAGTTTGCTGTAAAACTCCTATTGAGACGCAATCCCTATTTTCCCAGATAAAAAAAAGCCCCTCCTGAGACACTCCGCTTAAGACATCAGGCCAGGGTGGCCCACTATTATATTTTTTGCCCAGGACTCACCAGAGCCCTGAATCGGCCCTGGATGGGTAATGGGGATCCCCATAGAATCGCTCAATAAATCTTTGCCTTCTAGCTGAGGTGCGTTCTTTCTTTGTCCTATAATCATTGAATCCATAGACCTCAACTAATTCTTCTTACCTGGTAAATCTGATGGCTCCCAACTCTTTCTGCTGAACTGTTGGGGTACACACAACCCCCCTCCACACACACACACACACATATTATTAGACATGTGCAAAAACTAAAAATTAGCTTTGGAGAAAATAAACCGAAACTAAAAATGTTTTCATTAGTTTCGTCAAACAAAACAAATGTTTATGCTAGTTCGAATTCAGCCATCGGTGCGGGGCGTCGGGTGACGTCACACGGCTGTTGGGGGGGCACCATTTTATGTTCTTGCCTCGAGCGCAAAAGAAGCTAGCCACAGCTCTGGGGGTACAGACAGAAGTCTATGGGGCTCTACTGCACAGGGGCTGGCAACAGAGAGATAGGGCTTCAGCAGGGGCCTTAGATTGTAAGCTCCTTGAGGGCAGGGACTGATGTGAATGTGCACTATGTAAAGCGCTGTGTAAATTGTTGGCGCTATATAAACACCAATAATAAATAAATAATGTAAACAAACACTGGAGGCCACAGGCAAATA